TTCTCACCGGACCAGGCTCTCACATCACCAAGCGCGAAGCGCCGTGAGATATTCGGCGAGTCGCATGAAGGGTGCGCTGCATCCTGCTAAGGGTATTCGGCATCTCGTGCATACTTGCTTGCGTACGGATGACAGCTGCGTATCACTCAATATATTTTCTGGTGCTTTCTCTTCCATGGACAGTTGTAAGCACTGTGGAACTGTCTCGAAGGTGCTTGACCATTTTAACACAACGTGGTGCGATCATCCCCCTTGCGCGGAGTGAGGCTTCTCGACCCCGCACAACATGATCTACCCGACCACCAGTATGGTTACCGCCAAAAAAAAACAGAGGTAAACAAAAAAAGGCGGTAACCTGGTTGCCGAGTTCACGAGGTGAATTGGCTTGTTTTACAACGTCGTTGCCAAGCGACGAAAACCCAACCCCGATGGCAAAAGCCGGGGGGGGCATTGAGAACCGTCCACCCTTCACAAAGCCAGGACGCAGCACGCCGAGTTCTCAACGGACCAAGGTCGCACACCACCAAGCAAGCAATCGTACCGATACTCGAGAAGACGTACAAGATAAAATATTCAAAGTGTCAAGAGGAACGGGTGCGATGACGTTGCGACTCGCTGGGAGTGCAGCGATTGCCGTCGTCTCCTTTTGAGAGGCATGCGAGTTGTCAAAGAGGAGATGCGCTCCCGCGGGCCTTTGCCTGTCCCCACGGACGCCCTGCTGTCAGCACGAAACCCCAGCAACCCCGACAAAAGTGCACACCCACACGGGCCTCGGGGGTACTGCCGTGAACATGTGAGAAAAGCTGCCAAAGGATCACGTTTTGGCAAACTCTAGATCTGCGGCTTTGTCGTGACGACGGGGGCCAACAATCTCTGTGCTGCCGTTAGGCATATGGCTACAGGTCACCCCGTTTGCCACGAGCCCCGCCCTCATGAGGGAACCTGGAAACCTGTGGTCAATGGTCTAACCGCTAAGACATGCAAAACATAAGATTACGCCCCCCCCCCCCCCCCCCCCCCCCCCCCCCCCCCCCNTGAGGGCCACACCCGTCTTGACGCCCAACACTAACCTGTCGCAAGGCGTCCGACTGCTTCGACGATGGCGGCCGCAGCGCGCCGGCCACGTTGCATCCTTTCCAGCCCGGCTCCGTCCCGAAGCGGAGCTCGACGAGGCGCGACAGCTGCCGCCGGAGCTGCAGGGAGCGGTCCATGGTCGGTCCGTGGAGGTAGTTCTCGCGGCAGAAGTCTCCGCCCCCGGTCGCGGTGCCACCGGAAGTCGCGAAGGCGTACGCCCCAGCCGCTTTCAACCTTTGTGCATGTGATTCGAGAATGGAAGAGTGCTTTCAACCTTTCCGTGTGAATCAAGAGCGGTGCACGGTGTTTTTTTTTTTTCGTGTGAATCAAGAATGGTACGGTGTTTTCTAAACTTCTCCGCGTGATGAAGAATGACACGGTGGTTTGTTGTTTTGTGTGCGTGTTTTCGTCCCGTTATTTCTGGGTGGTAAACATCCTGCGGTGTGTGTTTGGCGAACCACACGGTTTAGCAACAGCAAAAAAAAAAAAGTGAGGAATGATGGCACCTACGGGGGATGAACCCTGAGAAGGGTGTGCGGTGGAGTAGGGAGGATCTGCTGTCGCGGGAACTTTGACGAGCAGAGTAAACTCCATTTCTCGAGACACACAAAACAAACTAGGTTAGCATGAAGAACGGACAAAAAAAATTGTCGATAAAGCGTGTGACAGCACGACTGTTTGTTTTCTCCAACAACGTGGCAACCCACTGTATCTGGTTGGCTTGGACGGATGCACGCACCTCGCCAGAGCGTCGCTGGTGGGGTGCAACCACTGCGCCCTTATCCGTCGGACCTCTTCGGCATCATCACCACCCCCACCCTCTTCCCCCTCCTCGCCGCCATCACCCTTGACCGCGACAGCGGAGTCCGGCCTGACGAACGGGTCGCCCTCGGTGAGCATCGCGACGAGGGCGGCGGCGTGCGCCAGCAGCCCCCCCTGCGCGGCCAGCAGCAGCATCTTGGCGTACCGCGCGCCCACGGGCAGCAGCGCGAGGGCCTTGCCGACCGGGGTGATCTCGCCGCTACCGCTACTACCGTCGCCGCTGGTGGCGGCGCTCCCGCGCCCCGCGGTGGCGCCGAGGTTCGCTAGGAGGACGGCCGCCGAGCGAAGGCCGACCGCGTCGGGGGGCGTCGGGAAAGGGAAGCGAGAAACGTCCACGACCCCCATGGCCTTCATCTGCAGCATCACGTCTTCCAGCGGTCGGGTCAGCACCTCCGGAGGGGCGAACGCCTCCATGGTTTGGGTGTACAGGGCGCTGCTATACAGCCTGCGGCAAAGGCGAGGCGAGAGAGAGAGAGAGAGAGAGAGAGAGAGAGAGAGAGAGAGAGAGAGAG